TCGACGAGCGAACTAACCCATAGACACAGCCCACTGAGTTTCTCGCCGGATCTTCTCAGTGGGTCGCGTTTCCGATTCGGTGGTAGATTCTGCGAAGCACTGCTCTTGCTAGGGTCAGTGTTAGCAACTCTCCGGTTGAGCCCCGCGAGCTCACCTACTAACGTTAGGGCGAAGCTGAAATAGCCTCTCAAGGCTATCAACATAGGTAGGAGGGAAAAAAGGAAAAAAAAAAAAAAGTACATGTATTTTCTACATGGATACCAAGTTTCAAGTCAATCGGACGCATGGCTCAGTAATTATTACGAAACATCCGTAAAAGCACTGTAGATTTATATATTAGTATAAATTAATAAAATAAATTACGAAAATATGTAGTTTTCTCCTTCGATCCATTAACGGTGCTTTTAGGTACCACAAGCACCGGCCACCGCCCTCGCCGAACCCGTCGCTTGCGACGAAAGGTTCGACGAGTAGATTAACCCATAGACACAGCCCACTGAGTTTCTCGCCGGATCTTCTCAGTGGGTCCCGTTTCCGATCCGGTGCTAGATTCTGCGAAGCACTGCTCTTGCAATTTTTTTTTCTTTTTTCTTTTTTTTTCTTTTTATTGCTTAGCTGGGTGGACAGCTCACAGCCCACCCGGTGTTAAGTGGTTACTGGAGCCCATAGACATCTACAATGTAAATGCGCCACCCACCTTGAGATATAAGTTCTAAGCTCTCAAGTATAGTTACAACGGCTGCCCCACCCTTCAAACCGAAACGCATTACTGCTTCACGGCAGAAATAAGCAGGGTGGTGGCACTACCCGCGCGGACTCACAATAGGTCCTACCACCAGTAATTACGTAAATTATAATTTTGGGCGTTCGATTTTTAGGGGGCTAGGGTCAGTGTTAGCATAACTCTGGTTTGAGCCCCGTGAGCTCACCTATTAGTTAAGGTTACGCTGAAATAACCTCTCAAGGCTCTCAGTTTAAGTAGGAAAAAAAAAGAAAAATAGTTTCATATTTTATTTAATTAACAAAAAACTCATTGGAGCGCATGTTCTGGTTGTGCCGCCACTTGCAGGCCCAGTTCCAGCACGACATCCCGGCCCAGGGCTCGTCCGTGTAGAACACTTGGCCGTTTTGGTACATCTACAAGTTGAAGTGATCATAAGATGATTCTTATAGCTACGGTGTATTTCTGGCGTACGGCCATCATGCATTCCGGCTTGAAGCGTTCCCGCCTGTTGTTATCGGAAAAACAATTATCGATTTTCTTTCATAGGTAAACGAACTGTCTATCCACGTGCTGGTAAGTAGTTGCCTGAACCCACAGAAATCATAGGGACAATGATGGTAACTAACCTCTTTTTGTTTCTTTTTTTTGGTAGGAATCCGAATGTCATACGAGATATCCGCGCCTAGGGGCGTACGGGCTATGACGATCTGCAGATGTTGGGAGCAGACCACGTCCCAAGCATATTTCAGGGATGATAACAACCCCCTGCGGGCTCTCGGAAAATAAATTGAGTGACGTTGAATTTTTTTTTTATAGCTTAGATGGGAGGACGATCTCACAGGCCAACTGTTGTTAAGTGGTTACTGGAGCCCATAGACATCTACAACGTAAATGCGCCACCCACCTTACACTATGTTATTCCTTCGTTATGGAACTCGTTTCTGAGCACCTGTCCAGTACATATTTTACATAGCCGGTCAGTACACACCGGTCGTCTTACCTATCAAGCCACGGCGACTTCTCTCTCAACGGCTAAGCGTAAACTTGCCACTGTTAATAATCGCTGAAAAGTGAGTGAATCCAACCGGATATACTCACGAAAGACAGGTCCGAGCTTTTGTACGTGACTCCGTCGTAGCCGAAGCGGAAAACGAAATTCATTGAAAATATCGAGAAGACGCAGCGGACGTCACTAGTGGCCGGTATGAAATATCTGTACGGGCCGCACCAGTACGACACTTTGGGTTCGTATTCGACGGACTCGGGGAATTCCTCGCGCGGATTTATTCTGTCAAAGGAACTTATAGCTTAGAACACATAACTTTAAGGACGGGATTTATCTAAAGCCTTTCTGAGTCTTTAACACGTTGACTGCG